AAAATAAAAAAAAAATTACAGTACATTCCAATTTCTATAGCTAGCTAGTACAATAATCCTGCTGTAAAAATGCTACCAAATGAATAAGACATTGCAGAGAAACTGCCACTAATCTACATAGAATAAAATGGGAAGCAATTTATATACAGAATGTTAACCAATTCAGATGCATCTAAGAGCCATAGCAGTGGATATAAATATAAAGTCTTCAATGCCATGGAATCCATTTGCTGAAATCTAATGTGGAATGTTTAGAAAAACACCAGAGAAGTTCGGGATTTTGTTGATGTGCTTCAGGGCGCGCTCAGCTATCTGTCGAGTCCTGTAATCACCGTGCTGGAAAGCGTCCGCCAGCGCTGTGGTTGCATTAGGGTCACCTGAAACTCGAAAGGCTAGCTCATCGTTGCACAGAAGCCTTTCAACTAGCCAAACTGCTCTTCTCTTCAGATTCTCGGTACGCTTCTGAAGTAGCACGTTGAGTATTGGATTCAACCCTTCTGCTTCACATAATACCTCAACCCCCTTTTCAATGTCAACCTCGTCGTCTAACAGGGAGGACAGAGCTGCAAGCGCTGCCTCGACCACTTTCTCCTTGCCATGGTCTAGGAGGTAGACTAACTTCTCTACAGCCTGCCCTTCCACGAGGCAAAAGCTTTCTTTTATCGAACATGTCCCGTGATGAACCCTGCAGAGTCCAGTTACCACCGGTGGTCTGGTTAAACAAGAGAAGATGGATGCACAAAAACCGGCCTTTGGCAAGTCAGGTAGCTTTGATAAATTTTTGGATTCTTTGGATAGGTTCTCCAAAGCCGTGGCAGATACAATTTGCACGTAGTGAAGCCCGTTGAGCTGTATGAGATCAATGAAAATTGCAGCAACGTTGTACTCCTGACAAAGTTCAAGAACATCGGGTTCACTGGACAAAGCAAAAGTGAACCTTGCAAGAACCTTCACTAGTCCTTCCAGATATGGGGTTACAAAGCAGCTCCCTGTTGTATCTCCCTGTAGGATGCCAACTATTCTCAAGGTGACTAATTGGAAGAGCTTCTCATCGAGCATCAGCTTCATTATGCCCATGTCTCTTTCGGGGAGATCAGCTAAAAACCCAACGGCTGCTGCCTGTTCCTCAGATATACCCCCGATACTCTCTGATATGACCTTGATTTGGCTACTAAGCGGGGCAGAAGAACTGCGTAAGCAGCTGGCTAGTTCCTGACCAATGTATGGAGAAAGATTCCGAAGAAGTTTTATGGAAGCGAGTCTAAGATCGATCTGTGGAGCCTCAACGAACTGAACCAAACTGACAGTAGCACCTGAGTTTTTAACCCCAGAAACGACACTGAACACAGTGGTTGGAGAACTCGTGAGCACAACGAGAACCTGAAGAAGCTTGCATGCTAATGTAGGTCTGGTGTTGCTAATAAGATGCAGGAAATTATGAATCACATCTTCTGATACCAAAGTCTGATGCTCAGGACCAACAGGCACAGAATCAAAATCATTACCTGAGTTTATGATATTTGCCAAAATTGTTGCAGAGACTTCCTTTAACCGCATGGGCAGTGCATTCACACCAACGCTAAAGAGATCCTTGACAAGCGGGGGAAGTATGCCTGCCCCAATCAAGATCTTGGCACTAACCTCATAAGACGAGATTTGGTTCAGAGCTTTCAAACCCGCCTCCCTACCCTCCGTATTACTGTACTTTATGATATCAATCAGTGAAGAACCAGCATACCAAGCTACTAAGACTTGCAATTCATTGTTAAGGACCAGCTCACCGAGAACTGCAGCCATTGAAATTTTGGTTTCAGACGAGCCTGAGATTAAAGAAAAAAATAAGCACGGATGAAAGGTTAAGAAATACAGGAAATGAACTTGTGGAAGGGTATTTGACACACAACTATAGGGGTTAATCGAAGCACCTTCATGTAGTACAGTCAAAAGAGGCCGTAATCTACCAATTTCCGCCATTTGCCTTACGTTTCTTTCACACTTTTCCAGATTCTCCAGCGTTTTCTCTGCATTCTCAACAGTTGCAAGATTTTCCAATTTGCTGCTTGCCAATCCATCGAGGATGAGAATTGCTCCATTGATAGAACTCATCTTTTCGCACAATGTCTCAGATTTCGATAGCTCAAAGAGTAAAGCTATGGCTTCCTCTCTCTCCTTGTATTGTTTGTGTGACAATAATTTTACTATTGTCCAAACAGTATCGCCCTCGGCCAATATTTCCTGAAAACTAAAAGATAAATGTAAATGGCATGAACAATAAGCATCTTAAACCACAGCAATAAGAAATATTTCCAAGTAATTAGCAAACCATAAACAACCTTATTATCATCATCATCCTCTACCATAACCCGAAGAGTTTCCAAAGCCTTGCACCGGACCCTGCGACTGCTGCTCCTTAACATGTCAATAACCATTGGTATCAGCTCAGCATTACGAATTACATGTCTATTCGACCGGCTTTTCTGACAGTAATGCAATGCTCGCAGAATATCAGTCTCTGCGCTTCCTGGAGATAGCGACCTACGAGCCATATCAAGCTGAGCAGCTCCGTTCCGTGCATTCCATTCCTCAATGGTGTTCCTCAAAGCCATGCTCGGATTAAGCTCTGTGCTTCTTAGCTCTCTTTGTGTCAAGGGACAAACAGGATTTCTTCCAATGTCTTTATATTCCTTGAACCATTTTTCAATCGCCTCTCTCTCGAAAGTGTGTCCATTTTCAAGGCTTACAGGATCACGCATTACTTGCTTTGTTAGCGGGCATATGAACACATCATATATAGGTTCTATATTCAGTCTCTCGAAATGGTAGCTCTCATCTGATGTACTACCAACATCATGATTCTCATCCCAGCATTCGGCCATCTAAACCTCTGCCTGTCAAAACATGCAAAGCCTTACCTTCAGCCATTGTTGTCCACAGTAAATCAATTCTTAGCAGGCAGAGATGCTAAAGTGGAATGCATACAGTAAATGGTGTAACAACTAACAATTTTGACTCAAAAATTACAAGTGGCAAAGCCCAGATTAAGGAACTAATTCTTTAAACTCACCATGACAGTAACTTTCTGACAACATGGCTGTACAAAATTACATTTCTTGCCCACAAAAGGTAAAATTTCCTCGCCCCCAAACCCCTACATCCCGGCTCTACAAGATAGTGGGAGAGAAAATCACAGTGACTTAGCCGTCCATTAGGTGGAAGGACCCATGTCTAATGGGCCCACACCGCATTGGGATTTGGGTGTAACCCTACATTGTGGCTCCCACAATCTACTCTGGAACCAATTGAGCTGTCCATGCAGGCTACAAAATTACATTTCTATGTAGCTCAAGAAAGTCTCAAGTTTTCCTTGTAAGATTATGATCTGGCTTAACTTCTATGAAGATACCAAACTCTGGGTTGTCAGCACCTGATACTGATTGCAAAAAGCTGTGACAAATATCAAGAACTACTGTCCAAACCTAAACTGACCTCTACAACACACCCCATATAAAAGACTTAACAATTCAAGAAGCAAAAATGAACAAAAACTTCCATATTGAACTTAAGTACTTAACAATATCTTTTTCATCCAATAATTGATCAAGCTCAGCATAAACCAAGAAATCAGCGCGAGAAAATAACTGGGAATTACCTAGTGGGCAATTCTTGAAACTCAGAGGCTAACTGGGAAGCTGAAAGCTTAAACCCTGCACCAAGATCCAGTTTTTGTGAACTGGGAAGCTTTCATTGTTCCATGACAACTTTAGAGAGGGGGGCAAAACGGGAAGAAAGAAGAAAGAAGAAGAAGAAGAAGGTGGTAATTTACTCCCAAATGTATACTACGCTGAAATTAATTTGTCTCAAATTTATTATGAAAAAGATTGTTCGGGTTGACTGAAACCCCACACCAGTGACTCCACTGGCTGTCGCTCTGCTGTGTTGACGGGCAAGAGCGGAGGGAGAGAAACAGCGACGAATCAAGCTGTCATTTTACGTAAGCCACCTTTTTCATTTTAACTGTTGAGTAATTACAACCATTGAATTATTAGCAGTAATTATTTGGGTGAATTAAGGAAGAATGCGATGGATGATCTTTCGTGGTGATTAAGGGTCCGTTTGAAAAATAGGAAAATGACTTTTGGAAAATGTTTTCTAGAAAATTTTTTTTTTTTCAGTTGTTGGTTGCATTTTGAAAAATTTGGTGTGTTTAGTTTATTTTCTGAAAAAAATGAGTAGAATTGTATGTTTAAACATTTTAACGGAAAATGACTTCTCCCAAATTTTGGCGGAAGTCATTTTCCACCAAAATGACTTTATTTTGCCCAGTTTTCGTTGACTGAATTTTCCTATTGCATCCAAATACGGAAAGCTCAGTAAATATTTTTCAGAAGTCATTTTTCGTGTATCTAAACGGATTCTAAAATCTGTACGTGTACTGATTATTCTTCCAAAAGGTTGAATCACAACTCTAAGGGACGTTCACTGATTATTGGTTGGCGCTTTTGTGGAGCGGTCGGCATCGTTCACGGGAATGGGCGAATAGCACTCTCCCTAACACTCACTTCATCACATTCCACCATTTGTTTCACCTTAAAATGTTATAAATCATTAATTAATTTCTACCTTTTTTGCCCTTACCCCGGCCGGTTGGAATGTTGGATAGTGAGGTGAAGCCCCAACACCACGACTTGGCAGGAATGCAGGAATAAATCATGTTGCGGTTAATAGGTCTCGATCTTATGTTTTAACTCACAATTTATCATTTGAGTATCAATTGAGTTATGTATGTATGTTAATTATTTAGGTTTATTTTACAATTATAAATTATAAATTAAATAAATAAAAAAATAATTAAAATATGAATATAAAATGGTGAATTCACAAAAAGCGGTGAAAGAACTTAAAATGAAAAAAAAAAAGAATTTTTGTGATTGTGTGAGATACTGGATGTTAGGACTCACACAAAATTTGGCATAAAATTCACAACTATTGAGATGCCCTAAAAGTCATTCAGTCTCCATTGCTACAGAGTACAGAGTGAATCATGGCAAACGCTCTCATCTCCGGTGTTGTGAATCAGCTGTTCATCATCATCAAGGACCAAGCCCAGGAGCTAAGAGCAGTGTTGGGTGTGGAGAAGGAGATAAAAAACCTCTCCTCAAAGCTCAACAAAATCAGGGAGGTGTTGGATGATGCAGAGAGGAGAAGCTTCAGGGAAAAGGGCGTCAAGCTCTGGGTGGAAGAGATCCAAGACTTCTGCTACGATGTGGAAGATGTTCTGGACGAGTGGAGCACCAGAAGTCGCAGACAACAGATGGAGAGGTCGTCCCAGATTGCAGCAGGAAGCTGTAGCTCTTTCCTGCCAGCAGCGTCTTCATGTTTTCATTTAAAAAGGGTTGTTATGCATCGAGACATTGCCAAGAAAATAAAGGAACTTGATTCCAGACTTGATCAGATTATGAAAGACAAAGATGTGTACAATTTTGTTGCTGTAACACACACACACATTTCTGGTCAAGAATCGAAGCGAGTGCCCACTACTTCGTTTGTGGATGCATCAGAGATTCAAGGTCGGGATATTGATGCCAGTGATGTGATAAGAGTGTTGGTGAAAGATGACTAAGGAGAAGAAGCAACAAGAAATGGTCCCCTTGTTATTTCCATAGTGGGCGCGGGAGGGATTGGAAAAACTACACTTGCTCAATTAGTGTATGGGGATCAACAGATAAAGACTCATTTTGATGAAAGGGTGTGGGTTTGTGTTTCACACCCTTTCGACCAGATCAAGATTGCAAAAGCCATTGTTGAGTCAACCACTGAGAGCTCCGCAAATCTGTCTGAACTGGAAGTGTTACTGAAAAAAATACAAAAGACTTTATCTGAGAAAAGGTTAGGTTACGTTCTATTAGAATAATGCTATATTATATTTTGCTGTTGCAGTACTTCTCTATTATGATTATTTGAATTTATTTGTTTGAATTACTTTTTTTTTTTTTTTTTTTTTTTTTTTTTTTTTTTTTTTTTTTGTGTTTCTGTTTGTTGACTACTCCTGGTTATTGGTAGTTTGTCAGAATTTTGTTGCTCTTTCATGTATAAATTGATCAATATGATGGTACGGTGGAATGAAATGTTATGTTCCTTACCAAATATCTGAGTGTTTTTCCTTATAGGTTCCTACTTGTGTTGGATGATGTGTGGACAGAGGAGGATGCAAAGTGGGAGCCATTTAAGAACTGCTTCAAGGATCTTATTAAGAACTGCCGCAAGGATCTTAGTAAGAAATGCTCTGGGAGTAGAATCTTGGTGACCTCAAGGAGTGAGAGAGTTGCAAGAATGATGGGAAGTGTGTATCTGCATCGGGTGAAGCTCATATCCGACTCAGATGCTTGGTTGTTGCTTAGCAGGATGGCAATTGAAAGCAGGGAGAAGGCTGCTTATTCTGAGAAACTGAAAGATATTGGTCAGAAAATTGCTCAAAGGTGCAGAGGATTGCCACTTGCTGTTAAGGTCATGGGAAGCCTGCTACGTTTGAAAGACACTGAAGAGGAATGGCAAAATGTTTTATCTAATCTGGACATTAAATTTTGGAATTTGGAGAAAGTGGAAACAGATCTCTTTCCTCATTTGTATCTAAGCTATGATGATTTAACCCCACAGATGAAGCGATGTTTCTCATATTGTGCTGTCTTTCCCAAGGATTATGAAATACATGTAGATGAGCTCATAAGAATTTGGATGGCACAAGGTTATCTCACAACAACAAATTGCACTGATCATAATCAGATGGAACAACAAGGCCGTGAGGTTTTTGGGAATTTAGCAATGCGTTCTTTGTTCCAAGATTTTGGGAAACATTACATGGATTCCAACATTATTATATCTTGCAAAATGCATGACATAGTGCATGATTTTGCCGAGTTTCTTACCAAAAATGAATGCTACAGTGTTGTTTGGCAGGAGGATAAGCTGAAGATTGAAAATCTACGTCATCTATCATGGCAGAAAATTGGAAGGCCTATGGATCTTGCTTCCATTTGTAATGTCCGTGGAAAACTTCGCAGCCTTTTTGCTAGATACCTTTCTCCTGAACAACTTACTCCAAATATGTTCAATGGTCTAAAATCTGTGAGAGTATTGGAATTGCATGGTTGTATGTTATCAAAACTCCCAAAGGAGATAGGAAATTTGATTCATCTAAGGTACATTGATTTACGTTCAAGTAAAATAGGCGGATTACCAGATGCAATTTGCTCTTTGGATAACTTGCAAACTCTAAATCTTGCAGGATGTAAGTGTCTTTCTAGACTTCCTAAAAGGATTGGATATTTGCATCAGTTAAGGTTGATTGATTTAAGTTGGAGCAATGTAGAGGAGTTGCCTGATTCAATTTGCACTTTGGATAACTTGAAAACTCTAAATCTTGCAGGATGTCAGTGTCTTTCTAGACTACCTCAACAGATTGGAAATTTGCATCACCTAAGGGAGATTGATATAAGTTTGAGCAAAGTAGAGGATTTACCTGATTCAATTTGCTCTTTGGATAACTTACAAACTCTAGATCTTAGCGGATGTAAGTGTCTTTCTAGACTTCCTGAAGGGATTGAAAATTTGCATCAGTTAAGATCGATTGATTTAAGTAGGTGCAAAATAGAAGTGTTGCCTGATTCAATTTGCTCTTTAGATAACTTGCAAACTCTAGATCTTGCAGGATGTGAGTGTCTTTCCAGACTACCTCAACGGATTGGAAATTTGCGTAACCTAAGCAAGATTGATTTAAGTATGAGCAAAGTTGAGGAGTTACCTGATTCAATTTGCTCTTTGGATAACTTACAAACTCTAAATCTTGGAAGATGTGAGTGTCTTTCTAGACTACCTCAACGAATTGGAAATTTGCATATGTTAAGGTTGATTGATTTAAGTAGGAGCAAAGTTGAGGAGTTACCTGATTCAATTTGCTCTTTGGATAGCTTGGAAATTCTAAACCTTGTAGGATGTGAGTGTCTTTCTAGACTTCCTGAAGAGATTGGAAATTTGCATCACCTAAGCGAGATTGATTGTAGTTGGAGCAAATTAGAGGAGTTACCTGATTCAATTTGTTTTTTGGATAACTTGCAAACTTTAGATCTTAGAGGATGTAAGTGTCTTTCTAGACTTCCCGAAGGGATTGGAAATTTGCATAAGTTAAGATTGATTGATTTAAGGGAGTGCAAAGTAGAAGTGTTGCCTGATTCAATTTACTCTTTGAAGGACTTGGAAATTCGACGATGGGACCTGAATTGAAGATTGGCAAATTGGGAAATCAGTAAACTTGAGGATCAGATTATTGTGTAGGGTGGGGATGATGCATGCCTGCCTCGTCAAGGCTGAAGGTAAGGTGCAGGTAATAACTCATCTGCAACTTTGTACGTAGTTGAAGTGTTTGAGTGAGTGTTGTGAGCAGATGGAGATCTGGATAGATAGATGGGGAAGTTGAAGTTAGTAACAGCAAGTGGAGGGGAGGTGTGAATTATCCATTGAATTGAAGGATCCAATCCAATCTTCTAAAAGGTGTATTACATACAACTCATCACTCCATCTTTGTTTGAGGAGGCAGCAAAAACCACTGCCACTGCCACTAAACACACACATTGGTGGAGGAGGCACCCACTAAACACTGCCCTTATATGATGCAAACTTCCACTGTATGTATCATTGTTTCCTGTACACATTCATTTCTTCATCATTAAATTTATGCACTTCACTCATTTCTCTCACTTCTACTTTGCATTCATGGATCTGGTTTACTGTATAATTATATATTTGTATAAATCATTTACAAATATTATATATTTTTATAATTTCATACATTATATAATTTATATTCCATGATCATATATTTATATGATTCATGACCATGTAACTAATTTATTAATAGACAATTAATGAATCAGCTAGCTAGTATGATATGTATCAATTATAAATTGAGTTATGTATAATCACTTCCTTCCTAGGTACGCTTTCCATACTTCCTTCGGCTCAAACTCTCTAACGCCGTCCTCGACGCGTTCCAGAAACCTCGGAGTCCATAGCCAAACATACGAAGTTGGAGAAGATGGCCCGCGAACGGCGAGCGAACACTTCACCGGACAGATTGGGATGAGGTATGTTCTAATCCACCATGGGTGTTGAACTATCTCCTTACTTAGTCAATGGGTGTGAGAAAAAAAGATTTGCATGTTAACAAAAACTATCTCGTTACATGCGAGGAAGTCAGGTAAAACCACTATTTGAATATGCGCAAACTCATTTTTGAGGCTGTGCAAAACAGAGAATAATGGTCAAATTTGTTTTGTGTGGTGCAACTGATTATTCTTTGCTGTGCAAATCATTCCAAGGTGTGCAAACATCTTGTTGAGGCTGTGCAATGCAGGTATTCCAAGGCTATATCTCGCTGTAATTCTGAATTTTGTGTGCAGGGATGTGATGAACATGAGGCTACTTGAGAACCCCCAGAGCCAGAGCCACAATCCACAACTCCTAACCGGCCTAAGAAGGTGCAGTTTTCCACCAGTAGTGCTAATATAGTCAAGTTCAATTCTTGGCTATTTGTTAACAATTTTAATGGGGTGATATGAGTAATGTTGTGGCAGATTTCACACACGATCTACAACTCGGGAGTTTGTTCATGCAATGAGCGAATTTAATGCCCGGCAGCGATTGGCAGTGAAGGCCATTGGATTTTAAACCAACTAGACCCTAACATGTAAGCGTGTAACACCGCACACAAGTTGTAAGCTAAGCATTCACCTAAGTGGTTTTTTCATCTAAAATATTCATTTTAAAATTTATGTGCTTAATTTGTGTTCAGAAATGAGGAATTATTTTGCAATGGGAGGATCGCACTTTTGTCGGATTTCCTATCTTTACAGTACAACACAGAAGTGCGAGTAGGTGTCATTGATGCATGGTGTTGTGTACTTGTGTCCTAAATGACAGGGAGAAAATGAAAAAGAGGGACAGCCCTAGTCGGTTTTTTGCTTCTACCTATACAGCGGTAAGTATTCAACACTACTGTGCAAACAAAGTAGAGTTTTGGCAGCTATCTGAACATGTGTTTTGTAATGCTGCAAAATAGCTCCACACAATGGTTTCCCCCAACGCCGCCAAGGCAGAAGGATTGAGTGGTTCATTGATCGGTTGGAAGCATCTCTCAAGCTTGCACCAAACTTGAACTGTGCAACCTTGGACATGGTAAACACATGTAACCGTACTCTCTACTGTTATTTTGGTCTAGTGGCTAGTGCTGAGTTTTATATAATTTCCATTCTGGAATAACTTCATTAAACAGTTTAAATGGATCGCAGTTCTTCTTGCAGAAACGGTTCTGATGATTTAATTTCCAGAGTTGGTCTCCGATTTTGTGCACCTCAGTGTTTACAAAAAATTGTTTTTTGATCCTGAGATTGTACTATATCGCAGATTGGCCCATGGAGGAATCTCGTGGAGGTTGCCATTGCGCTACATTGACAATTGCTATCAACTAGTTCTCCATATGTGACTGACTTGAAGACATTGGCCCCTATGAGAATGGGATACTCCAACATAAACAAATACGGAGTAGTATATATTACACTTTGAATTCATTAAAGTAAATTACATTTTCTTTTTAATTTACTTTATATATTACACTTTGAATTCATTAAATTATATGATATTGTTTCCTCTACACATTCATTTCTTCATCATTTAATTTATTTATGCACCTCACTCATTTCTCTCACTTCTACTCTGCATTACATTCATGGATCTAATCTATATATTTATATAAATCATTTTGAACACATTATTGGTTAACAAACTGTTATGTGAAGCTAGCCATTCTTGCTTTCCTTGAAGTTTGTATGTGCAGGCGACTTATTTATGGCTTAATCCTCTTTATGGTTACATAAATATATTTTATGCTATTGTTGATTATCAGTATTAATCATACAATAGATCAGAGTTACTGTAGGAAATCATCAAACTATGATTATGATGCAAGAATTCACTCAATAATCTTACTTCAAGTAGCCATTTTATATTTCCAATACTGTAGGACCTAACACAGAAGAACAGTTTGGCCATGTTTGGTTATTGGCGGATCCGCCATTTTTGGCAGTTTGACCATGTCAAACCGCCAAAAAAAACCGTTTGGTTAGCAGCGGTTTGCTCCAAACCGCTGTTTTTGCAAACGCTGCAAAATGCAGCGTTTGCAGTTGGCGTTTTGAGGGAAAATTTAATTTTCCCCAAAACGCCCCTGTTTATATTTAATTAAAAAAAAAACTTAAAACTAATTTTGAGGAGCCGAAATGGCTCCTCAATTTGGGGAGCCAAAACGGCTCCTCAACGTTGCCCATCCTAGATGGGCAACGAATTTGTGGAGCCTTGAGGCTCCTTAAAAATAAAATTATGGCAGGATCAACGTAATAAAAACAATTTATATGATTTTGAGTTTTTTTTGTCAACAATTGATCGCAATTTCCGACCAATTGTTAGAGGATCTTCACATAATACAAGATTAGAGTTTTCTATCAAATAATTAGTTGGAAATTCCATCCAACAGTTGGAAGAAAAATCATATAATACACTAAGGGAGCTTCATGTTCAACTGTTGATCAAAAATTCCGACCAACGCATAGATTTGGACGGAAAATCCCATATTAAAATATGATGGGATACCCATCCAGATTTTTTGTCCAAGAATGACAGTTGGATGCTATTTTTTATAGCAAAAGTTGGTGTTTGACATTTTTTTTTTTGAAAGCAAACAACGAACTTATATTAAGTCATAGGAAAGAGCATTACAAATGAAAGAGGGAGGGGCATGAAGCCACTCCGTACGTTCAGACATAGAAACGGACTCCCTTGCAAGGATATGAGCCGTCCGGTTCGCAGAACGTTTAACAAAAGAGATACAATAGTGAGCAAAAGTGCTCAGCGAATCTTTTACATCGGCTAACAGAAGATCGAAAGAGGTGACATAATCTAGAGAAGAAAGGCCTTGAACAACCAACAAAGAGTCCGTCTCGACATGCAGGAACTCCAGATTAAGACGTTTGGACCAACTGAGTGCTTCCCTTATAGCAAGAGCTTCTGCTTCTTTGGGGGTAAAAGTACCATTCCATGGACAGCTAACTGCGGACATAAAGCTACCATGTTGATCACGAAGAACCCACCCCAACCCCATTTTTCCAGAGCCCACGTCCAAAGCAGCATCAACATTTAGTTTCATCCAGCCCGGCTTCGGTTTAGTCCATTTTACAGTGTTCTGAGTCTGGCTCTGATTCTGTTCGGCATCCCCTTCTGTACAGGCTTTCCAGTCTTTCCAAAAGGATTTTGATTTCTCAACAATGGCCCTGGCTGATGTTGATAAGTCCCTCCAAACTTTGTCATTCCTTGCGCGCCAGATATTCCAACAAACAATAACAAATAAACAGATTTGAGGGGGCTGCATAGAACCAAAGATGTGATCAATCCACTCTGTGCAGTTCTGGAACGGGTCCTTATCCGGCAGCTGGTCAATGAGGCTCCAACACTGAGACGCCAACCTGCAGTGTGCTAGGAGGTGAAAAGCAGATTCGTCGGCTTCATTACATAAAGGGCACAGAGCATTGCAGTCAATTCTTTTATGGCGCAGCTTATCCGTCGTTGGAAGGCAACCTGTACAAACTTGCCATAAGAAAGTCTTGGCTCTAGGGGGGAGTTTCATATTCCAGACTGCTGACCATTTTGGGGGAGGCACGGTGTTCAGATCATTTGAGATGGCTTTGTAACAGCTCCTCACGGTGAAGATCCCTTCTCATCCTTATTCCATATGACCTTATCATATCTGTTTCCTTGCGGGATAGGGACACTTAGAATAAGCTGAGCATCCCTGGTGTTGAAAATATCCCTTACCACCTCCACATCCCAATCTGTGCCTTGATTATTCATGAGGGAATTAACAGTTGCATTATGTAGATGAGGAAAAGGAGGAGTGGTGACCATTGGATTTGCTGCGTCTGGTAACCACTTGTCGTGCCATATGCGAACTGAAAGGCCATTTCCAATTCTCCATTGAGTGTTGCGTTGGATGATGCCTTTTGTCTCTAACAAACTTGACCACACGAAGGACGGGTTACCACCTTTTCTGGCCTCGACGAAATTGGAGTTTGGATAGTACTTTGCTTTCATAATTGTGGCAGCAAGAGAGGAAGGATTATTGATCAATCTCCAAGCTTGCTTTGTAAGCATGGCCAGGTTAAAATCATAGATCCTACGAAAACCCATACCCCCCCCCCCCCCCCCCCCCCCCATTTTTTTGGAATGCAAAGTTTGTCCCATGCCATCCATCTAATTCCTTTATTCTGCTCTCCTCTTCTCCCCCACCAAAACCCATTCATTATTCTCTCAATATCACTCACCAGCCCCTTAGGTAGTAAGAATAAGTTCATGGCAAAGGAAGGAATTGCTTGGATTACACTCTTTAGGAGAACTTCTCTACCCGCCCGGGAAAGAAAATTATGATTCCATGATTTAATTCTGGCCACAATCCTGCTTTTAATGAATCCTAGGATATCCCTTTTGTTCCTACCAACTAATGATGGAAGCCCCAAGTAGTTCCCTGCACTACCCTCCATCCTCACACCCAAAATCGATCCCACCACCACCCTAGATGTGGTTCCCACATTCTTGCTAAATATAAGAGAGGATTTTCCAGATTTACCAATTGGCCAGTGGCAGCAGAGTAGTCTTCTAAAATCTTTTTACAGGTACTAGCTTGACTATGGTTGGCTTTGAAGAAGAAGTAACTGTCGTCCGCAAATAGGAGATGAGATACCGTAGGAGCAGTACGGGCGATCCTCACACCCTGGAAGTTACCCCGCGCCTCTTGCTTCCTGATTAGGGCACTGAGACCTTCCCCAACCCGAATGAAAAGGTAAGGAGATAGGGGATCTCCTTGCCGAAGGCCACGCTTTGGTATGATTGGGCCTAACTCCTCTCCATCTCTTTGAATAACATACTCCACCGAGCAGACACACTCCATGATCAACTGCACCCATCTATCACAGAAACCAAACTTCAGCAGCAAAGCTCTTAACATCTCCCATTCGACCCTGTCGTAAGCTTTGCTCATATCGAGCTTTAGAGCTGCGTAGCCATCAGCCCCCTGTATCTTATTTTTCAAGTAGTGTTGTGCTTCAAAAGCGATCAGGATATTATCCGTTATCAATCGTCCGGGGATGAAAGCACTCTGATTGTCCGAGACTAGGCGGTTCAGGAGAGGTTTCAGTCTGTTAGATAGGACCTTTGCGAAGATCTTGTACACCACATTACACAAGGAGATTGGTCTCAAGTCCCCCATTGATATTGGTTTTGACTTCTTTGGTATAAGCACAAGCTGTGTACAGTTTAATCCTGTTGGCAGATGTCCAGAACGTATGAACTCGTTGCAAAGCCTCACAATGTCTGTCCCCACGACATCCCAATAAGCTTGGAAAAACCCTGGGTTGAAGCCGTCTGGGCCCGGTGATTTGTCCGGATGCATACTAAAAATTGCTCTCTTAACTTCTCCCGGACTTGCTTGTTTGAGCAAAGCTGGATTGTTGGCTTCAGAGATACCCGCCGAGATGCATTCCAGTACTGGACCCATATCTCCCTGCAAAGAAGCAAACAAATCATTGAAATAATTAACCATTAGGTTGTCTAGCTCTGGTCCATCACACCACATGCCATTTCCATCCATAAGCTTAGCAATATGGTTATTATTCCTTCGACGTTGACAGGTCATGTGGAAGAATTTAGAATTTACATCACCATCTTTGAGCCAGTGAACTTTGGCCCTTTGTTTCCAGAAAGAGTTTTGTTGATTCAGCAACTCTAAATAATTTCTTTGAGCTTCATTATAGGCGAGTAAGCCATGAGGATCAATTCTACTCCTTAAAGAATCCAACCGAGATGCCCAGTAGTCAATTCTAGGTTGAAAGTTGCAATTTCGGTTCCTTCCCCAGTCCCAAATGGCCTTGCTGCAAGAATCAAGTCGAATTAGAAGATGACAACCAGCCGACTGCTCCCAGCAATTCGTGACTATCTCCCTGCATTGGTTCTCCTTCAGCCACGTGTTTTCAAACTTGAACTTTTTCCTCCTTCTCTTCCGAACAGTTGGGATTGTACACAGGAGCAAAGGTAAGTGGTCACTAGTTGGAACAGTTATAGACCTTGCAGCCGCATTACCGAACCTCTCCAACCACGAATCATTAATCAGAACTCTATCTAGATTCTCCTGGATCCAATGTGGAGTACCCCTAGATTTTTCCCAAGTAAATTGACATCCCTCAAACTCGAGATCCCGAAGACCGCTGGAATCAATAGCTTCGTTGAAGCCTCTGATTATCCACTTGGGATGCGGATGTATACCCCTCTTCTCAGATTGGCTGCGTATATCGTTAAAATCGCCCATGAGTGCCCAAGGGAGAGAGCTTTGCGTAGATAAATGACAAAGCCGACTCCATGATTCTCGACGTCTATTGCGCTCTGAATTTCCATAAAAACCGGTAAACCTCCATGGTTCTGGGTTGTCTGCAAAAGTGATCGTGGCATCTATGTGATAATTGGAGGAACCCAATATACTTACTTCCTTATCTTCCTTCCACAACAGGGCTAGACCCCCATTACGGCCCAAACTGTCAACCGTGAACATTCCAGAGAAGCCCACTTGATTTTTGATGTTCTGCATTTTTTGATTGTCTGCTAGAGTTTCCATGAGAAAAACCACCTTTGGCCTCTTAGAGTGAATTAAATCCACTAAAACTTGAACTGTCTCTGGGTTGCCAAGCCCACGACAGTTCCAGGCTAGGCAACTCATTGATGTAGGCGGGCCTGCCCAGCAAAGCCCGCCTCTAAAACATTTTTTGGCCCAACAATGTTGCAACCAGGCTCCTCCACCATCATGGGCTCCTCAGAACCCTGTTTGTAGTCATCCGGCCCACTCATCTCTTGGGCCCCCCTCTTGCGGTTCTGGTCAGACATTAAAAGATCCAAAATAGAGGAATGGGATGGAAAATTTGAAAGGGTATTGTCGCTTATCGCATTATGGCTGTCAGTAGTCGAATTAAATGCACCTGTCTGTTGCACGCTAACAGCGCTGGCCTCATGGTCAATGACCGCGGAGTAAAAATGAGTTCCTTGTGTCGATTGCCTTTCGTCAACCTCGTATCTCGGGATTCCGTCCACGTTCGCATGATGGTTGGTGTCTCCGGCGGCAGCTTCCGGCGACTGAACAGCCTGGTATGGTAGTTCTGACCGGAACCATCTGCTAGCCTGAATGGTGTTGCTCCTTCTCGCAACTCTCATCTCTGGACCATACGGCCTCTCTATACTATCATCATCGGTCGCTAACTCGTGTGGGCTGTATTTTTCAGCATGCCCCAGTCTTCCACAAATAAAACAGAAGGTTGGTAATCTCTCGTACTTGCATTCCAACCAAAGTGGCTCTCTATTCGGTTGCCTGAATCTTACTCCTCTTCGCAAAGGCTTATTAACCTCAATGATTATCCTTATGCGTAGGAAAGCGTTCCAAGTTCCATCAAAATTTGAGAAATCCGCCTTCACAAAGCTTCCCAGGCTTGCTCCTATGATTTCTGCCATTTTCATATTGGCAAGGGCACGAGGAATCTTGTGGATCTGTACCCAAAACTCAGCTTTGTCCAGTTGGACGTCGTAAGGTGAGGTGTTGCTCCCAAGCTCTTTTAAGACAAGTAAACTTTGATCATACGACCACAGACTGTCATCCAGGACTCTTTTTACGTCTTTCCTGTGGAAAAAGTAAAAGATGAAGAGATTGGGGGATATCTCTTTCGCTACCATGCCTTTTATCGGTCTCCAAACGTTTGCAAGGACATCCTTCATGTAGTTGAACTTCACCGGTTTATCGGTAAGGACCGTTCCGACTATGGTAAATATTTCTTCATCTCCTGTGGGGTTTAGGACTCCTTCGTCCAGTTGAATCTCAACATCTTCATCGTCATGTATGTTCAAGGCAGCGTAGTGTTCTTCCAACGGCTCATTTCCTTTACTTGATGATGCCATGTTGGGGAAAGCAGAAAGAAAACCCAGAGAGGATAAGAGGATACGAGAAAAACTGGTGGGAAGAGCACTTAGGAATGTCACTGTGTTTGCTCTCAGTGAAGTACGCCCAGTGATAAGCTGAGATGTTTGTAGGGGGGTACATTTCTTCATCGACTCCATGCAATAACTTCCTGACAGAGAATCTCACCAACTCAACAGCTTCATTAATGGCCAACAAAGATACTCAACAACTTCATACATGAAAATAAATGCAGGGTGCAGTAAAGATAAAACCATAACGGAGGGAAGCTTGTCAACAGGACAAGAGGAAGGGGCTTGTCAAAGGGACAAGAGGAAAAAAGATGAGAGGTAAAGCTTTATTTTCAAATAACATCTTTACTGGTGTTTGACATAAATTCTGACGATGATTTTTCATATCTCTAATTTGGTCGGTATATTGGTCAGAACCTTAGGGGTCGTTTACTTCGTTTTTCTGTTTTTCCATTTCCAATTTTCCATTTTTCCATTTCTCCAGTTTTCTTTCTCTATTCTTCTAGTTTTCCATTTCTCCAATTTTCTAATTTTCATTCCCATTTCTCTAATTTTCTGATTTTATTAAATATGATCATCCCATATAGCATTTTTACATTTCTACAATAATAATAATAATAATAATAATAATAATAATAATAATAATAATAATAATAATAATAATAATAATAATAATAATAATAATAATAATAATAACAACAACAACAACAACAACAAAAAATATGTGTGCATAAGAATGAGAAAAAGGGAAAAATGGAATAATAGTAATAGTAATAGTAATCTTTTATATAATAAAGCTATATGGTTTGGGAAATAATTAGGGGTCGTTTGGTTCACGGAATGTCAGATTACCTTAGGAAATGTTAGATTGTTGGGAATGTTAGATTACTGGGAATGTTAGATTCCTGTGTTTGGTTAAAATTTGGGTATGTAATATAATCATGTTTGGTTTAGGGTTATCTTTTATTCACACACAATAATATCCTTAACATATTTTCATATATTTTAATAAATTTAAAAATTAAAATAAATAAATAAGATAACGGTATCATATATAATTACATGATTTTAAAATATTAACTAAAATATTGAACTTGAGAAGCAAAATTATTTTATATGCTAACCTAACATAATAA